TGTAGCATTGTAGGATCAGCACTGGACTACGAACCACAAGGTCTGCAGTTCAAACCCACTAGCAACTCCTTAGAAACCCTTTGAGTTGGAAACAACTCAACGCCACTTAACAACAACAACATATATTGTGGGGAGCGTGGTGGCTCCATACGATAAGCAGTAAACTATGAACCAGTGACTCTATAGATTAAAGTAGACCTGTACCTTAGGATTTCTGAAACTAAATCTTTTTGATAGGAGATAGTCGTGTCTTTGCCCTTGAAGCAGTGTTGTTGTTGTTAAGTGCCGTTGAGTCGGTTCCGACCCATAGCGACCCTGTACAGGGTTTCCGAGGGTGTAAATCTTTACGGGAGTAGAAAGCCTCATCTTTCTCTCGCGGAACGGCTGATAGTTTCGAACCGCTGACCTTAAGGTTCGCAGCCCGATTCGTGACCACTACGCTACCAGAGCTCTGTTGACCTTGCAGTTAGCAGCACACCCCTTTAATGGACTGCGCTACCAGGGTTCCTTTGCTTGTAACCTTCACCAAAATCACAATAAAATGTGAAAAAAAGTTTTTTATCTTACATACAGTGCCTACAATAGGTTATAGTTATTAATTTTTTTAAAATCACAGTGCGTTTACAGATAGAATTATAGTACATCTGCTTTAAATGATTCTTTCTCTCTCTAAAAATAGAGATCACTTTTAGGCAAGAGGGTTTAAATCTTGAACTTCTTTTGTCCTTGGTTGGTTACCAATAGAATTGGATGAGCAAAAGCACAGATTATTAAAGAGAATGATTTGGTTATGTGTCTAACTCTAAGTGATGCACAGAAATGTGGACATTGTCAGGGAATTAAAAAGAGATTTTGTAGATCACTTGTAGGATTCCATGAGAACGGGAATGTTCCAGTCCTACTCTTTCCATCCTGTTCTTCCAAATGTTTCTAATTAGAGCCTTATCAAACCATTGAGATATATATATATATATATAAACACACATGTATATATATGTCTATGTTGTTGGTTGTTGTTGGTAAGGACATGGAGTCGGTTCGACACATAGTGACCCTGATGACCCTGTACAGGGTTTCCGAGGCTGTAAATCTTTACAGGAGCAGAACAGCTCATCTTTCTCCTGCTGAACCACTGGTAGTTGCAAATTGCCAACCTTGAGGTTAGCAGTTCCACTACAATTCGTAATCACTATGCTACCAGAACTCCTTTTTACATCATTAGTACTGGTGAAACTTCCTTTCTGTTGACCACACCCAGATGTCTATTTCGCATGAAATCCTCACATTCCCTCTTGTTTAGAATTATTGCTATGTTTATTACTAAGTGGAATTCATGTGGAGTTTTAGCAGCTTTCCCCTCCCCCACCCCCTCATCCATCTGCCTCTTTAATGGTAGCTGGGTTTACGGCTGTTCACTTATTAGTACCCTGGGTCTTAACAACCTTATTCAAACAAAACATCTTCAATAGGGGCATTAAGCAGGTCACAACAGTGAGCCATTTTGTAACGGGTGTGTTGAGTTTTAGAGTAGAAGGCCTCAGAGTGCAGCTATTCATTTTCTTCATCTATAAAACATTTTAGAATAACAGCTTACATCTGTCTGGGGTATAACATTCCACATTTTGAAGAAACATCACTGTTAAGTAACTCCAAACCAGACATGGGCAAAGAGCTCGCCTTCTGACAGGCGGATGCTCTTTGGAAGTCGGGAAAGGTATTTGTTTTAGCTTTGGAGCCTTGTTTGCTGGCAGGACAGCTTTCACATGTGGAGAACACATTTTCATTGTTTCTTCATATTGTAAATGACAACAAGCATGCGATACAATTTTGACTGGAAGAAAATTTTTTCACACAGCAGGCGTTCTATCTTGTGAGGCTATGTGACTATCAGAAACCAGATATAAATTTGATGATTTGAGTTTTTATATATAGCACATTTAATTATCTTAGATTGTCAGTTAATCTTTTTTTAGGGAGTAAAGTTGGGTCTTCCTGTCAGCTCCCTTTAAAATCAGAACCCAAGTGAGTGGTTTGGCCATTTCAATGCGTAATTTTTAAATTACTGCTTTAAATTGAAGGACCAATTTAATTTTTATTAGAGGAAAATATATAAAATGTTCATCTATGGATTTAAAATTCAAGTGGTGTTAAGTGTATAAATAATATGTAGTTCAGTTTTATGGGTTATTTATTGCAAATATTGCTATTAAATAAGCAATATTGAGAACTAACAACTTTTACAATTCTAAAACTTTTTTCATGTCATAAATGTGAGATATTTACATCCTTGTGAAAATGTGATAGATTTACATTTGAAAGGGAAAAGTACAAATTTAAACTTAAATCATCCATACTCCCAGTACCTGGTAGTCATTGTGACTGTATTGTATGTACTACATGTTATAAATTTCAACAACTTTATAATAGTTTTTAGAAAACTACTGTCCAGTGAGATTGTTGGATTTTGACACTTTAATTGGAGAGCGGAACTTGACTTTCAGAGTGGACAGTGTTAGCTGCTTTGACATTTTAGTGACAAGACACTAAGCTAAATTTGATGTGTATTGTGGAACTTACCATATATAGGATGAGGTGCTGCTAATTTATGAAGATGACAAATTTGAGATTGTAGTTTGTTAATCCTGTCCAGGAGGATAATTGGCATAGATATGCTTTCCCACCACGCACAGTGGAAGGTAGATTTTCTTTGCATGGCCACTGTGTCAGCATTTATACCAGCAGAATAAGACAGGTGATGCTAGACTTTTAATTTCTGGTTCGATGCATATATTTCAGAAATAACCTCTTGTTGTAAATTCATATGAAGTTAAATACCCATTGGTGGTAGTTATGTGCTGTGGAGTCAGTGTTGACTCATTGTGACCCTGTATAGATAGGGTTTCTGAGGCGCTAAATCCTTAAGGGAGCAGAAAGCTTCATCTTTGTCCCACAGAACATCTGGTAGTTTTGAACTGCTGACCTTGAGGTTAGCAGCCCAACTCATAACTCGCAACTACTACGTTACTAGAGTTCCTTATTAAATGTCCATTAATCCCTTCAAAATTACAGATAGACATATCCATGACATTTGATAATGCTCAAAATTCACAGTTACTTTTGACTTGCAAATGAACTTATCAAAATAAAAATCCTGTGCATTAGGCACCTTCCTTTTTATGGTACCTCCCTTCTAGACTATAGAGGCTCCAAGATTTGAATTCACTGATATTCAGGGAATATGGGGAAAGGCTTTATTTTAGAATATTAGAAACTTTCATTAAAAAGCATGTTGATGATACTGTGGGTGACTTTATACTCAGATAAATGCATCTGAATGTTTTTGAGTACGGTAGTTGTCAGAAAGTCTCGAGTCAGGGTGTCTGGACTTGGTACTTAACTGTGTGCCGTTATTCACGTTCTTCAGCGTCTCTGACTTGCAGTCTAATTACCCGGCGCATGGGCATGGTAATACCGTAGTACTTACATAGAATTGTTGTGAGATTCTGTGAGACACTACCTCTCAGTGGATTCTGACTCAGACTCAAACCTGTAGGGAAGAGTAGATCTGCCCCTTTTGGTTTTCCAAAGTGGCAAGTCTTTACAAAAACAAATCACATCTTTCTCCCCAGGGGTGGCTGATGGGTTCTAACAGACTCTAACCTTTCTTTCATCACTGCACCCCCCACTGGGGCTCTTTCAGTGAGCGAAAACTGTCCTTATTAGCACAGTGTTTAGCATTTTGGAAGAAAAGTCTGTTTATTTTATGGAGCACATAGGGTTGACGTGACTTGAGTTGAGCAGTAACTGATTAATTGTATAAATCCTCATGCTTCCTTGCTACAGATCACTCTGCTCCCTGACGGCCGCTGGTGCTAAATCAGACTTGTAGTCTATGATCTATAGTCCTACTCCTCCGGTACTGGTTCAGTATTGGTCCTCTTCTCCCTCCTTCTCCTCTCCTCTGGCCCCCCTACTGACTCCTCCCCTTCTGTGTCTTCCTCTACCTTTTTCTCTGTCTCTCTCTTTTGCCTCATCCTGCCCTTCTCTCATTTTCTCTCTCACTCTTTCTCTCTTCCTTTCACTTCTTTCTTCCTTCCCATACTCTCCACTCCTTTTCTCTCTTCTCCTCTGCCTTCCTTCTTCTCCTTCCTCCCCAACTGCCCCCTATTACTTCCCCCTTCTACTCTCAACATCTTTTCTCTCTTCCCTTTTTCTCTTTTAAGTCCCAGCGCTAACTGGGATTAGGAGACAACTCTAGTCCTCAATCAAAAACTTGTGCAGTCTTTAGACTTTATTGCTTGCAGTTGTTATTAGGGGCCATTGAGTTGCTTTCTGACTCATGGCAACTCCGTGTATGCAGAGTAGAAGTGCCCTGTAGGTTTTCAAGGCTGTGACATTCCAGAAGCAGAAGCTAAGTGGGTTGGACCCCTGATCTTTTGTCTAGTCGTTGAACAGTTAACTATTTGCACTACTTAGGGACTCTTTTGCAGATGATCACCAGAAAACCAAACCTGTGGCCACCGAGCCGATTCCAACTCACAATGGCCCTGTGTAGGGTTTCCAAGACTACAGAGTTTTATGGGAGCAGAAAATGCACTCTTTCTCCCACAGAGTTGCCTATGCATTTGAACAGCTGACCTTGAGGTTGGTTAACAACCCAGTGTGTAACCCACCTAAGCAGCAGTGATAAGAAATATATATTTTGACATTTCTGTAGCCAGACCCTCTTTGTATCATTCTAATTTTCCCCAATTTTAATGGGCTTTACAGCATCATTTTATGTCCCTTGGATTAAAAAGTTAGTAGGACTGTACAAGCAGTTACAGTTTAGCTACTTTTTAAAACACTGTGTACACAATACCAACAAATTTAATATCAGCTTTATTAAATGCATAAAGTTAAAGTTAATTACTTTTTCTAAGTAACATTATTGATTCATTTAGTAATGCCAGACAAACTGATTATTTCCAACTAATTTTTTTTTTTTTTTTCTTCTCCAGATTCCCTTCTCTTTGGTCCAGTTTCCTTTATGGGAATCCTTAAAAGTAAGTTTTTCAATCATGTAATATTTCTTTAAACTTATCACAAATACATATAGTTACAGTATTGCATTGTTGTTGTGTTGTTGTGATGTGCCATCGAGTTGGTTCCGACGTATAGGGTTTCCAAGGATCAGCTGGTGAGCTTGAACCACCAACCTTTTAGTTCAAACGACTTTTCAGTCTGGCGCATTAGCCCACAGCGCCACACCAGGACTCCTACAGTATTGCATAGTATGATAAAGTATTTACCAGCAATTTTAAAACTCAGAATTATTTATAGTTGAGTATTTTGCATAGGAAGCTTGCAAATTCAGCCTTTTAAACTTGTTCAGGTGCCTGTGGTATTTGGGAATGAGAGTATCCAGAAAAACTTTCCTGCCCTTTTCTCCTGTGTTGCCACTCTTTCTCCAGCCTGTTGGATTGCCTTTCACTTTGTTCTTGTTTTCTGTGGGAAAGTTAGGTGCAGTAGTGAGGGTAAAGAGAGAAGACAGCTCTGGCTGTCTGCAGGCTAAGAAGGCCCAGGCCCTGTGTACACACCCATACTGTAGGGGGCAGTGTGGGGAGAGGGGGGAGCAGCAGGACTTGGTACTCTGCAGCCATTTCTACTGCAAACCACAGCCAGGCCCAGGAGTCCCCAGGGACAAGGAGCGGAGTCTGGAGAGTTGAGAGTCAGCCTGAAAGGTTACTCATCTGTTTAAAAGCAAATAAAATAGTACACCGGTTCTTCCGAACATGTAGTGACTTCCGAGTGGTTTTCATCATTAAACAGAGTGATTTGCAAACCTGTGCACCATAGTGTGATTTCTGTGGGCCTTTGGCAACATCAGGGAGCCCTTGGGGCACAGTGTTTAAGGTGCTCAGCTGCTAACTGCAAGGTTACTGGTTCGAACCCACCAACCACTCAGGGGGAGAATGATGTGGTTGATTTCACTTCCATAAAGGTTGTTGTTGTTGTTGTTGTTGTTGTTGGGTGCTGCCAAGTCAGTTCTGACTCTTGTTGTTGTTGTTGTGAAGTGCCGTCGAGTCGGTTCCGACCCATAGCGACCCTGTACAGGGTTTCCAAGGGTGTAAATCTTTACGGGAGTAGAAAGCCTCATCTTTCTCCCGCGGAGCGGCTGGTAGTTTCAAACTGCTGACCTTAAGGTTCGCAGCCTGATTCGTAACCACTGCGCTACCAGAGCTCTGACTCTTAGCAACCCTCTTATATGTACAGCAGAAGGAAACATTGTCGAGTTCTGCACCATCCACACAATCGTGCTGTTTGAACCTATTGTAGCCACTCTTTTAATCCTTGTCTGTAAGGGTCGTCCTAGTTTTACATTCATCTTCTCCTTTACCAACCACCATGTCTTTCTCCAGGGACTGGTACTTCCTGATAGGACATCCAATTTATGTGAGCCAAAATCTTGCCATACTTACTTCTAAGGAGCATTTTCGCTTTACTTCTTTCGAGACATTTATTTATTCTTCGGACTCTTCATGGTCCTTTAAATGTTTTGTCACCGCCATAGTTCAAAGGCCTCAATTTTTCCTCAGTCTTCCTTATTTGTTATCCAGCTTTCACATATATACGAGGCAGTTGAAAATACCATGGCTTGGGTCAGGCACACTTTAGTTTTCAAAGAAACATCTTGGTAAACAGCAAAAAAAAAACCTTTATAGAGGTGTTGTGTAGCAGATTTCCCCAAGCTTCCTTCGTGGGTGTTGACTGTGAATTCAAGTGAAATCAAATCCTTGAGAACTTGAAACTTTTTTCCAGTTATCATGATGTCATTTATTGGTTCAATCGTGTCACCTGGGTATCACAGGTTGTTGATGAGTCCTCAGTGCGCACCTGTCCTCATTTTAAACCACATAGTGTCCCTTTGTTCTGTTCACTTGACTGCTTCTTGGGCTTTGTACAGGTTCTTTATGAGCACAATGAAGTGTTAAGGAATATACCCATTCTTTGCAGTGTTACCCAAGATCTGTTAATAGTCTACGTGGTCGGATGCCTTTGCATAGTCACCCTTTGCATAGGTAAATATCTTTCTGGCATTTTCTGCTTTCAGCCAAGATCCATCTGATATTAGCATTCATATCCCTTGTTCCTCGTTCTCGTATGACTCTTGAGTTTTGAATTCTGAATACTGAACTTTGGGCATTTCTGTGTTGGTGTACTGCTGTACCCATTTTAAAATTAGCTTCTGCAGAATTTTACTTCTGTGTGATAATATTTTAAGTTGATATCCACATTGTTAGGTCACTTTTCTTAGAACGGGCACAAATATGACTCTCTTCCAGTTGCTTGGCTAGGTGACTGTCTTTCTGATTTGTTAACGTAGATGAGTGAGTACTTTCAGCATTGCATCAATTTGTATTCATCTCAGTTTGTATTCTATCTGTTCCTAGAACCTTGTTTCTCACCAATGACTTCAGTGTAGTTTGAACTTCTTTCAGTGTCATTTGTTCTTCATCATCTCCTGCCTCCTGAAATGTCTGAACATTGGCCAGTTGTGTTGTGTATAGTGCTGCTGTGGATTCCGTCCATCTTCTTCATGTGCTTCCTGTGTTGGTCAGTATTTTGCCCATAGAAATTTTCAGTGTTGCAGCTTGAGGCTGAAGTGTTTTCTTCAGTTCTTTCAGCTTGAGAAATGTTTGTCGTATTATAATGTGGAAAGATTGTCAAGTTTGTAGTCTTAGACATCCTTATTCACATAGGGTTCCTCTGAGTTGAAATAGACTAAGTGGCAATGGAGTTTTTCCCCCAGCATGTTAAAGACTAAAATAAAAAAGAAATATTAGAATAAAATAGGAATATTAGAGAGCCTCTCTTCTGGTAAGGAACAGTATGATTTTGTAAGCTTCAGTTTTGTGTGTGCAACAGTATGCACACACACATGTGTATACATCTTTCGTCTTTGTACTGAGTTGCTATGTAAACTATTTCTCACTGTGGATAATGGTAAAAAAAAAAAAATGTTTGGGAGCTATTGTTCAAGTGAAAAGAGTTGATATATGGGCAAAACTGCAAAATGTCGAAGTTTTCTAAGCAGGCGCTTAATGCAGAAATGAAGCTATTGCTTCTGTCACTCCATGGAGTTAGTAACCAAAAAGTGCTCTTGAAAGTGTCTTTTGAGGAATAGCATAATTATTTGAACTGTTACAAAGATTGTTTTGAATTTATATACTAAAAGATCATAATGTGAGACGAAACGTAATTCTTACATTTCTCAATATTTAGCATTCCAGAGTTTATTTACTTTTAAAAAGAGTAGTAAGTTCCAGAGCCCCTGATTTTAAGGAGTCATAGTTGTTAAGTGCTGTCCAGTCAGTCACAACTCATAGCGACCATGTTTCTGAGGTTGCAGATTTTGGTGGGAACAGAAAGCTTTATCTTTCTCACAAGGAGCAGGGTGGTAGGCCCTGTGGTTCACAGTCTAGTACTTATCCTGTAGAGCCACCGTGTTCCCACTAAGCAGTGGTTTGTTGTTGGGTTAGGTACTGTGGAACTGCTTCTGATTCACAGCAACCCTGTGTACAACAGAATGAAACACTGCCCAGTGGTACTGCTCATTTAGTAACGTTTTTTGGCCTGCCATCTTACGTTTTTATTTTTTTCTTTGTGGTGCCTGGTGAAAACAGATTTCTCAGGCAGTGTTTCAAAGAGCATGTAAGAACTATCCATTGAAAAGGCCACATTCCATTAGCATAACAGCTGTCCTTTTTGTGTGTGACAAAAGAACAATAAAGCCAACAGCTGTCCAGCAAACAAGACTCACTTGATTAGTGTCTCAATGACTAGCATTTACAGAGATTCAGCACACTTCCTAATAGCCTTACCCGAGCTCAGCATAGGAATGTTTGGAGGCCCAAACAGGGAAAAAATGTGCAGCTGAGTTCTTTTCAATTTTAAAGACATTTGTAGGATTCTAGTTGAAAAACATCTTGACTTTTTCAGTGGATCCAAGCAAAATTAAGTCTTGGATAACTTCAATCTTTTCTCCATTTATCATGATGTTATTTATTGGTCCAGTGGTGAGGCTTTGTGTTTTCTTTGCATTGAGGTGCAACTCATACTGAAGGCTGTGCTCTTTGATTGTCTTCATTAAGCACACTTTCAGTAAGCAAGGTTGTATCATCTGCCTATCTCAGGTTACTAATGAGTCTTCCTCCAATCCTGATGCCTCATTCTTCTTCATGTAATCCAGTTTCTCAGATTATTTGCTCAGCGTACAGATTGAATAATTATGGTGAAAGAATACATTGCTGGCACACACCTTTCCTAATTGACAACCATTCATTGTGCTCTTATTCTGATTGAACAACTGCCTCTTTGTATCTGTACTCATTCCTCACGAGCACAATTAAGTGTTCCAGAATAGTCATTTTCCATAGCGTCCACAGCTTGTTACGACCCACACAATTGAAAATCTTTGCATAGTTAATAAAGTATAGGTAAATATTTTTCTGGTATTCTCTGATTTGAGGCACGATCCGTCTTATGCCAGCAATGATATCCTTCATTCCACGTCTTCGTCTGAATTCATCTTGAACCTCTGGCAGTTCCCTGCCAATGTATTGTTGCAGCTATTTAAAAATTATCTTTAACAAAATTTTACTTGCTTGTGATATTAATGGTCTTGTCTGATGATTTCCGTATTCTGTGGGGTCACCTCTCTTTGGAATGGGCACACATATGAATCTCTTCCAATCAGTCGGCCAGCTTGCTGTCGTCCACATTTCTTGATCATATGTTGCCTCTTGAAATGGTGAACATCCACCATTGCTTTTTGGTACAGTGACTCTGTATTCCATCCACCTTCTTTTGATGTTTTCTACATCATTCATTACTTTGTTATGGAATCCTTCAATATTTCAAGTCGAGGCTTGAATCTTTTCGTCTGTTCTTGTTCTTCCCTTTTGTTTTTCTAACTCCAGGTCATTGCACATTTCATTATACTACTTTGTCCTCTCAAGCTGGTCTTTCAAACTTTCTGTTCCAGTGTTTCAATATCATAGAA